TCATGGAGCTCAGTCCCAGTTAATGGGATGCAGCGAAGTGACATGTGCTCGGCAGCTAATGGACAGAGCGTCCGTGCTCCCAGATGGACTGGGAGAAGGGACGGCTGACGGCCGCTAGGACTCGGCCCCGGATGGCGCCGGGAAGGCCTCCGAGCAGACGCCAGCCTTGCCTTTTACACAGAAGATGGGCGAGGCTGGTGGGGAGGCAGCTCTGCTGCTGCTTCAGAAACGCTTGTCCCCAGAAATCAGAGGCCCTGAGCGTGGGCCTCGGCCCCGCCATGTCTGAGCCTTTACCTTAGATTTGAGCAGCAGGTCGTCTTTGGTCACCTCCCCTATGGAGTCAAGGTGAGGGCAAAGGTCCCTGGAGTCCCCCATTCTGGCCTGGTCTCACCTACAGGAAAACAGAGTCCCAGGTTAGACACGGCAGCCACTGCCAAAGGGAGGCCAGGAGGCCAGCGGTTAAGGGCACAACCTTGGCCTTGAGTCCCAGCTCAGTCACACCATCAGCCGGCGAGCGAGGGGAGCTATGCAACTTCTCTGAGCCTCACTCTCCTTGCTGAGAAGTGGGGTGAAGAGAACACCTCCCCCTGGGCTGCTCGGGGCATTCTCCATGGCTGTGTGAGGAACTGTGGGATCCCAGTCAGCCCTGCAGCTGCACCGATGCCACCTCCTGGCTGCTACTGAACTACAGACACACCAAAGGTGTGGTCCACTGAGGGGGGCTGGGTACCGGCTTCCTGAAAGGCAGGGGCCCTGTGTCCACTGGAGGGAGGTGGACTCCCAGCCAGAACAGGAGCTACAGGTGCGGATTGGATGCCAGGTACCAGATAAGAGCTTCCCATGCATCCTTTCCTTAAAAACTTCCCCAGTGCCCGGCTGCTGTCGCTCAGTGGTTGAGTATCGACCTATGAAGCAGGAGGTCATGGTTCGATTCCCGGTCAGGTCAGGGCACATGCCCGGGTTGCAGACTCGATCCCCGGTAGGGAGGGTGCAGGAGGCAGCCGATCAATGATTCTCTGATCATTGATGTTTCTATCCCTCTCTCCCTCTCTCTCTCTCTGAAATCAATTTAAAAAACATTTTTTTTTTAAACCCAAAACCTTCCCCAGCAATCTCTGACATCTATCCCTCTCTCCCTCTCTCTTTCTCTCTCTGAAATCAATTTAAAAAACATTTTTTTAACCCAAAACCTTCCCCAGCAATCTCTGAGGTGGTGGTGGTCAGCCCAGTTTCACAGGCTAGGAAGGGGCTCCTTCATGTCCAGCCTCATGGGTAGGAGGGCTAGAGCCCAAGTTTGTCGGACTCTTAGGCCCCTGCTCTCACTCTCTAACTTACTGGGAACGTCAACCCGGGTGGAGCTAGCGCACATGCACTCCCATTCGTTCACGGCCAGCTTTGCTCTGCTTCCTCTCAACCTCAGATATCACATCATTTCATTCGGGTTTGTTTTTCTAGAAGAGAGCTTCAAAAAAGAAAAAGAAAAGCATTAACACAATTCCATTATTTTACCTAAAAAGAAAATTCCATCTCCCTCCTTGGCCTGTGGCTAAGGGCCACACCCAAGTGGGGGAGCCTGGGGCCTACCTCTGCGGACAGCGACACCCGAGCAGCAGCCGATCTCCACATTCTCTGTCGACAGCTGCCAGTGCTGGGCTGGAGCGCGAGGCCTCTGGCAGGGAGCCTGGGGGACAAACCGGGCACTGCAGGTAGCTCCGCTGTTTTAAAGTCACTCAGCACCGATCCCCAGTAGGAGGTGTGCAGGAGGCAGCCGATCAATGATTCTCTTTCACCATTGATGTTTCTATCTCTCTCTTTCTCTCTGAAATCAATCCTATATAATAAAAGCCTAATATGCTAAGTGTCCAGTTATCCGTCCAACCAATCAAAGCGTAATATGCTAATGATATGCTAAGGCTGCTCAACTGCTCGCTATGACGTGCACTGACCTCCAGGGGGCAGATGCTTCAACCGCTAGGTTAGATTGCTGCTGGGGTCCAGCCGATCGGGACTGAGCCCTCCTGCGTCCCTCCCTGGCCCCGATCATGCACTGGTGGGGTCCCTTGGCCTGGCCTGTGCCCTCTCGCAATCCAGGACCCCTCAGGGGATGTCAGAGAGCTGGTTTCAGCCCGATCCCACAGGCCAGGCCGAGGGACCCCACTTGTGCATGAATTCGTGCACCGGGCCTCTAGTAAAAATATATTAAAAAAAAAAAAAAAAGCTTAGGGTTTGTGAACATTTTTTTTAAGTGAATGGTTAAAATCAGTTACATGAAGGGAAAAGGTTGAGTGGGGTAACCAGAACTGTGGGTCCCTAATCCACACACAGGACCTGAAACACGAGTGCACCCGCTGCAGGGCCTGTACCTTACTTATCTCAGCTGCCTCAGGTTTTCCTTTGGCTTATCTTGGTACCCAACCAGCACTGAGCAGGCACCTCCTCAGGCAACGGCTTGAGTGATGGAAACCAAGCCAGAGCCGGGCCCCGCCCTCCTGGGGCTCAGAGATCCGTATTTCCACACCAGGGCACCTGCATGCAGCCACTGGGGGTGTTATCATACTAACCGTAGCCACCTTTTATCACGCTACTACCTGCCCGTTGTTTCCTGTACAGTAACGCAGAGTTGACTGTAATTACGGAGGACAGAGATAGAGACAGCTAGCCCTGCTTTCGGGTCCTTGCTCTCGTCGCTTGCAAGCTGTGTGTCTTTAGATAAATCACTCAATCCTCAGTGTCCTCGTCCATGAAGTGGGACAACCACAGCCATAGGGTTACGGGGAGGGCGGTGAGTCGATGCACAGGAAGGGCAGTGACTTCCGATCCCGTGGATGTTCAGGGTGGCTCAGAGTTTGCATTTATCTGCACAGCAAGAATGCTCACAAAAGCCCGGCCGGCGCGGCTCAGTGGCTGAGCATCGACCTATGAACCAGGAGGTCACGGTTCGATTCCCGGTCAGGGCACATGCCCGGGTTGCTGGCTCGATCCCCAGTGTGGGGCCTGCAGGAGGCAGCTGATCAATGATTCTCTCATCATTGATGTTTCTCTCTCTCTCTCTCTCTCTGTCTCTCCTTCTCCCCTCCTCTCTGAAATCAATTAAAAAAGAAAAAGAATGCTCAAAAAATATTTAGCACTGTAACTGTGTTACTGGTCATGCTTTAGAAATTAGGAAGCGGGTTGGTTAGAATGTAAGTCACGTGCCAAGGGGCACCTTCCATCAGCTGTTCCCTGGGGGCTCCACTGCCCAGGGCAGCCAGGCCGACCAGCCCCGTACCCCGTGTGACACCCAGCAGGTGACTGGTGCATGGCGGTTCTGATTCTCCCGGCTGCTTCCTAAGATCCAAGCTCACCTCCTAGAGCTTCTGACAGCAAAGTAAAGCCAGGAAGCGGAACCCCAGGGAATGGAGCCAACAGCTGTCCTGTCCCTAGGCAGCCAGCACGTCTGCGTCCTACAACCCGATTCCCTGTCTGAACGCAGGCCGAGACACTGTTCCAGATAAAAGGCACCAGAGACAGGACAAAACTGGGTCCTGGGTTAACGAGGTAAAGGGTATTAGCGGAGCAACTGACAAATTTGAATATGGGCCAGATACTAGATGATAGTGTTTGCGGTGGAATGAATTGTACCCCGCAAAATTTACAAGGTCTTTAAAGAGGCAATTAGGTTCAAATGAGGTCTTTAGAGTGGCCTGAATCCAGTCTGACTGGTATCCATCTAAGAGAAGGAAATTTGGACACACAAGGAGGCACCGAGGACAGACCCTGTGAGAACACAGCAAGCAGGTGGCCGACTACAAGCCCAGGATAGAGGCCTCAGAAGAAACCAAATCTCTCTCTTAAAAAAAAAAATACAAAATTTTTTTTTATTGATTTCAGAGAGGAAGGGAGAGGGAAAGAGAGATAGAAGCATCAATGACAAGAAAGAATCATTGATTGGCTGCCTCCTGCATGCCCCACACTGGGGATTGAGCCTGCAACCCAGGCCTGTGCCCTGACCGGGAATCAAACCGTGACCTCCTGGTTCATAGGTCGACACTCAGCCACTGAGCCATGCAAGCCGGGCACCAAATCTCTTGAGACCTTGATCTTGAACTTCCAGACCCCAGAACTGTGAGAAAATACATTTCTGTGTTTAGGTCACCCAGTCTGTGGTACTTTAGGGCAGCCCTAACAGACTAATATGCTATTATATGAACGTTCAAGTTCCTGAAGATGGAAACTATTTTTCTGGTTATATATTATAATGTCCTTGGTTGAAGATGATTGCCCCTGAAATATTCAGGGGTAAAGAGTCATGATACCTGCAACTTACTCTTAAATGAATCAGCAATAATAATAATGATGATAATGAGTATATGAATATATAGAGTAAATAGGGCTAAATATTAATAATTGGTGAATCTAGATCAGTGGTTCCCAAACTTATTTGGCCTACCGCCCCCTTTCCAGAAAAAATATTACTCAGCCCCTGGAAATTAATTTTTTTAAAATTTTAATAGCAGTTACTCATCGCCCCCAAATGCACCTGTGGCCATCACCGCCTCCCTGGATCGCTGCAGCGCCCACCGGGGGGCGGTAGCGCCCACTTTGGGAATCACTGATCTAGATGATGGGTATAAATGGGATTTCATTCTATTATTTTTGTACCTTTTCTGTAAGTTTAATCTTTTTCTCAAAACAGAGGCTTTTAAAAGATTCCTTTTCTCTCACTTAAGGTGGAGCAGGGAGGGATCTTTTAGAAAAGGTAACCCCAACTGAACAGCAGGAGCGCCAGGATCCAGCACCTACACCGGGCCAGGCGAGATGCCCACCTATACTCTCTCAGGTAAGGACCACAGTTCCTCATCTTACAGAGGAAGGATGGAGGCTCCGAGATGGGAAGCACTTGCCCAAGGCCACACAGCAAGGAAGGGACAGAGCCGGCAGTGAGCCGGGCGTGTCTGCCTTCACAGCCTTTCCCACCCGCCCTCTGTGCAAATAAATAGAGTGCACACAGTAGGCATTTAATAAAGACTGGAAGGCACTGCTGAGAGAATGGAGCCTTTTTTTTGTTTAATGTAAAGTGACAGTGTGAAGGCTTTTTTTATATGTACAGTATATACACTTTTATTGATTTCAGAGAGGAAGAGAGAGGGAGAGAGGGGTAGAAACATCAATGATGAGAATCATTGATCAGCTGCCTCCTGCACGCCCCATACTGGGGATCGAGTCCTCAACCCAGGCATATGCCCTCGTCGGGAATCAAACCCAGGACCCTTCAGTCCACAGGCCAACGCTCTATCCACTGAGCCAAACCAGCTGGGGTGGGAACAGGCTCTCTTGAGAGCAGCTGGTCGGCTGTGCTGCTGGGAGTCGGTGAGGTGCTTGCCCCAGAGAGGGTGCCCCAAATGCCAGCCGGAGGGGTGGCGCCTTCACCACAGCAACCCCAGAGCACCTCTCCCTCCTGCCCCACCAGAGCGGCCTGCCTCTCCTCTTGGGGATGAGAGAGCAGGAGGAAAGGAGGCCGGCTCGTCAGTCTGCAAAGAGCCCACCCATTCGGGGCGGGGTGAGGCTTCCAAGACGCTTCGTCCTGAATGAGGGCAGGCACTTCTTCCCCCCGGGCCTGCACTGAGTGACGGGGGAAGGCCTCCCCAGGGACGCAGGCTGGCAGGCGGTACATCCGGGCCTGGCACCAGCTGCCGAGGCCAGGCCTCAGGTGCCCATTACTCATCATTTTCCTGGAGGTTCTGGCTACATCCTCCTCCCGGCCAGGAGCCAAGTTCCTCAGGACAGGAAAGGTGACGCTGCCAAGCCCCCCACCAACACAAGGACACCCCCTAACCTGGTCCTCACCCCATTAGCCATCCCTCAGCCCACATACCTGCACCCCTCTGAACAAGTACCCTTTTTCTCCCTCCTGCCCTCTTTTCTCCAGTAGACTTCCAAGCTACTCCATTTTCCCTAAATCCCCGATATGTTCCTTCCTTTAACCCATTTCGCTGAGAGGCCACCGTACTTCTGGCTCTCAAAGCAGAACTGTCAGCCTCCTCCTGCCTTGGCGAGTCCTGCTTCCCACACACCTCCAGTGACCCTCATGGGCCTTACCCATCTAGCCCCTGCCCCAACGGCCCCGTGTACCGAACTCATACTGACAGACCTCACTAAATCCTCATAACCACCCTGGGGGTGGGCAATATTGGAAGCTAAATCCATCTCCACCTCCACCACTAAAGGAAGAATGACTGAGGCTCAGAGAGGTCAAGTAACTGGCTGGAGGCCACACAGCTACTAAACAGCTTTAGATCAAAGCCAAAAGGCTGTTCTGAGAAGTCCTGAGTGCATCTGTCTCCGTCCAGGGAAGAGAACAATCTTAGAGGAGGCTGTTCCAGAAAAAAGTAAGGCATCCCAGAAATGCTGCCCAGCCTCAGAGTGGCCTTCCAGGAGAGGGAACCCAAAACAGCCTCCATCAGCACCTCCCCCAGCCAATGGGCCGTAACAACAGCCCTTGCAGCAAACATTTACTGAAGCTCCTGTGCCAGCACAACCTGCAGAGGTGGGCCTGCGGCTGACCCCAGCTCCACCTTCCGGCTGTGTCCCTTGAGGCACGCATCGCCTCCCAGAACCCTAGATTCTCATTTGCAAAATGAATCTACTTCATAGGCCTGTTGGGAGAGTTCAATGAGATAATGCTTAGCCCAGTGCCTGCCACGGAGTGAGCGCTTAATAAGAGGTAGCGCTTTCAAAGGAACGCGCTGGCCTATAATGAGAAAGGAAAACTACTATTTAAGGGGTTCC